TGGGGAACCACTGTGTTAATTACCCTTTATATCCCCTTACTCTTTGTAGAAACAGATATTAGTTTGGGAAAGCAGCTGAGTGAACTGGAGGGACTCTAACCTGTTCTTGGGAATAGCAGAATGTGTTGTCACGTTGGTCTCAGTTCACTCCACATGCAAGGCAAAGGCACAGATGAATAAAGTCGGATGTTGAGAGCATTGCCAGGACAGTGTCAGCTGTGTTCCTCAGCCAGACACAGCACAATATATTGCAAAACATCAGAATGACAACTGAAAGCAAAGCAATTACTTGTGCTGACCACTCACAGCTGAGTCTGAGAGCCACTCAAGCCGAAAAAGAAATATATCTGTCTTTTGTTCAGTGTGCTTTACACTTAGAATGGCTGTCTTCCCTCCTGCTCCTGCTTTTCATTCTTGGAATAGAGGCAGTCACATGACCCAGTCGCATGCAGGGAGAGAAAAGACAGAAAAAGGACCAGAAGACAGACAAGTAGATATGAGCCGCAGCCCCCTTCTTACCTCCTCCACATGACTCGGAGCACTTGGTGAACCCCTCATACTCCCAGTCATACAGCTCGTCCAGATCCTGCAGGCCACCGAAGAGCCCAGCTGCCTCATCTGGGTTAAACTCAGGAATCTCCCCGTTGCACGGTCCTGCATAACAGGTGCGCTGGGATGCTGGCTTGGGCCCTTCACACTCATCAGCAGGCAGGTCAGCCACGGACTGAGAGAAAGACAGGAGCACCTGGCACCTGACTATTCGCACCTGGGTCCCCACGCCACAGGTAACCGTGCAGGCTGACCAGGCCTCTGGGATGAACCTGCAGTCGGCGAGCAAACAAGAAGACAGGATGAGAAGCCCCAGGCAGGAGACCACGGGGGTGGAGAGGGGCGCCATCCCACCTGCCTCCACTGCCCTGAGCTGTCCCAGGAGGTGCTCAGGCTCTGCCACTCTGTCCTGTCATGGCGCTTTAGTTTAGTTCATGAGCTCATTTGCCACCGTTTCTGGATTGCCTGCTTTGTGAGTATCATATGAACCCCCAACTGTAAGACATTCCAGCCAGAGACCACCTGCTTACTCCCCACTTTCGCACCCACAGTGGTAGCTCTTCAGAGCAGGGAATTGGTGGTTTCTTCTCTGTGCTCTAAATCTCAGCACTTGTGCTGCTTGCAAGATGCTAGCTATTCTTATAGCAGACTAATACCGATACCAAAAACTATAACAAAATAAGCTCTTGGAGATATTTAAGGAAGTATTTGGAAGTTTTTTTTTTTTT